AGAATCTTGCATAGTAGTAGTAGTAGTAGTAGTAGTAGTAGTAGTAGTAGTAGTAGTAGTAGTAGTAGTAGTAGTAGTAGTAGTAGTAAAGAGTAGTATCTTTAAATATTCTAGTTTGAATCCTGCTATGTGGGAAATACCACTGGTTACCTATTTCCCACATAGCAGGATTTTTTTAAGGTCTAGATTTTACATTAATACTGATAGGATCTATGCGAACTGTAGTCCAAAGAATATCAAGTGTCCTATCTGCCGTGTGCTATTAAAAGGTAATATTAGAGAATTATGTTCACAAATGAGATCCAGGCAAAAAACGAACATCATGGCTTCAAAACCTAAGGGACTAATTTGGCCAAAACTCAGCAGCACTTTTTCATGAGCTGTTGACAAAAATAGGATTGCCAACATGATCGCCAACATCCAATGACGAATATGGCACAAGAAGAGGAAGATGATGTTCACTCTAAGACTCTAAATAAATAAATTATTATTACTGTTGAATATATCAAGTAGGCAATTTATAGGAAGTGCAAACAAGTATAGTTCTCAACTTACAACAGTTCATTTAGTGACCGTTTGAAGTTACAACCGCACTAAAATTGACTTATGACCACTTTTTAGATGTACAACCATTGCAGCATCCCCACAGTCACGTGGTCAAAATTGAGATGCTTGAGAACTGGCTCTTATTTAAGGTGGTTGCAGTGTCCCAGCGTCATGTGATCCCCTTTTACGACCTTCTGACAGACAGTCAATGGGAAAGCCAGATTCACTTAACAACTGTGTTACTCACTTAACAACTGCAGTGATTCGCTTAACAATTGTGGCAAGAAAGGTCGTAAAATGGAAGAAAACTCACTTATCAAATGCCTTACTTAGCAACAGAAATTTGGGGCTCAATTGTGGTCGTACGTCGAGGACTACCTGTAAAGAGCAACCAATCTCCCTGCTCTTTTCCCTTGCAGGAGAGGCTGTCTTAGCATAGGCATGCCAATGGGAAAAACATCGAAGAATTTGGGAGGTACTCCTCATTTCGATGGTAGATTTGGCCTTCAATGACTTCATTCATGCATAATGCTAAATCTTGATGCTTTTTAACATCGTAAACTGGGATGACATAGTTCATGACGTAGTTGGCTGTCTTGTAAATCATATTAAACAAAAAAAACCAAACCTTGTACAACTTAGAACTGTGATGGTGAACATATGGCACCAGCCGTCAGCTCCGGTGCAAATGCGCACACTAGCCAACTGATCATTCTCCCTCCCCCAGGCTTCAGGAAAGCCTCCAGTGGCTTTGGAGGGTGAAAAACGGCCCCAATGGGCCAACCGGAAGTTCAGAAATGATCCATTTCCGGCTTCCTGAGGGCCTCTGGAGGACTGGGGGAGGCCGTTTTCACCCTCCCCAGGCTTTAGGAAAGCCTCTGAAGATTGGGGAGGGGTCATATAAGCATGCGTGGGGAATCACGCATGCATGCGCAGGTGGGCGGGGAAATTGAGTGGGCATGCCATAAGAAAAAGGCTTGCCATCACTGACCTAGAAAATAGCTAATACCTAGGGAGACTCCTTTGCAGGGTGGTGTTTTGATGATTTATTTTTTCTTTTACAATTGAGCTAGATTTTATTTAAAGTATAGCCTACTTCTTCAAGAAGATAATGAGAACTGTTTAATTCTGTGCTAATGGAAAGAGTATAAACTCACTTTTTATCTAATTTCCCTCTTTCTCAGATTGGAGCGATGGCAGTGGCAATGTACCTTTATTGCAAAATGGATGAAAAATGACTGGGATAGGCAAAGGAAAGGATTACCTTCCCACAAGCCAAGCCTATGACACAACACTTTCTTAACCCATATCTACAGCAATTAAACATTTCATGGGCCTGAAGCCTGAATGTATAATTAACCTATTGACTCTACCCAGATGGAATCTTTAGCATGTACATAAATGAAATTGTGAAAAGCAATATGATAAGAAAACTCTATTAACAGAAAGGCCCTTTGTATTGAAAGGCAGAAATTGAGAGTGGGGGGGGAGGAAACACAAGTAAACCTGGAAATGTTTGTGCCTTCAAAAATGGCCTTTTCTAATATATGTAGTGTGAAAATTTCTGCTAGCTTTGACATTGGTCACCCTGGGTTGTAGAAAATCTCTAAGAATAAATGATCCAGAATGGAACAATTTGTTTGAAAAGTTTGGGGTTGATTAATTGAAATACCTGTGTATTTCCAATGGTGAATCAACATTGTTTTTGTTCTTGACGTAAAATAATAGATGAGCACTTGTGGTCTCCTGTTGGAGCAAAACATGGCTGTAAAAATTGATAGGAAAGAAAATGACTTTCTTGGAGGCCTTTTAGCCCTTTTGCCTTTCTGTCCCCACAGAATTGGTTATATGCCACTTGCTAAGGACTGAAAGGGTGTCTGATTGAGCTGGCTGTGTATGAAAGGAATTCCCTTTGTAACTAATGTGATTGTACATGATGTAGTTCTCTATTTTTTATTCTGTGTGAATATACTTTAATTTATAATAATGTAACTAAGGAATCATATTATTTGTGCCTGGATTGGACTATTGTAATAAAATCTACTTTTGAATTACAACTTGTGGCACTGGATACAGGGATGAAATAAATTTACCTTCGCTACCGGTTCACAAATGTGAGCACACGTGCCACCTCCACGCATGCGCAGGACTTTCTGTGCATGCGCAGAGCATCAAAAATGGGACGTGATGATGTCTGGGTGGGTGGGCGGAACCTCTCACCACCACCTGTACCAGTTCACTTGAACCAGATAGAACTGGCTGAATTACATCACTGGCTAAATATCTTGCAGCAAAGATCCCCAATAGAAATAGGCAAGACTAGGTATAAGTGTGTGGGCATTTGACTTATGCCCTTCAGGTTATTTCTGTCACTCCTGATACTTATGAATATTCCAGCTGATAGATAAAAGCCAAGCTAGCTCTGTAGGTAAAACCATCCTTTGCTGAGAGAATAATAATTCTTTCAGGATGCCACAGACTTGGAACTGATTTTATTTTTGGCAAAAAAAAATGGCATTTTTTATTTTTTACTTTACTTTTGAAATTTTATTAATTTCAAGATTGAGTAATAGTAAAATGGGAATTTCAATATAAATAATCTGATTATTCAAAAAAACCCACATATTCTAATTACATTTAAAATAATTAGTAAAAGGTAATGTGACCTTTTTCATTATACAGTTTTTAACATAGATCTCAACCTTGCCTATATTGTATTAACATTCAAGAGGCATCAGGGAGTAATTGTCAACATATTTTCTTGATGAAGATACAAGCATACCTGAAAAGTGGAATCATTGCTGGTCCCAAAGATGATAATTGTAGCACAGCTGCTGGAATTATCTACTATAGCCTCGTTCATACGAAACCAATAAAATTTTGCAGAGTACCATCATTTCAGACAGTAGCCAAAAAGCCATACAACATTCTTTCTCTACAAGAAACCAAAATGCTTTCCCCCCAAGAAACAATACTTTCTTCATTAATTATAATTATTATGGCAGCTTTCAAGAGTAAGCAGATTATCAATTCTTTTTACACCCTATAAAATAATATGCTGAGATGCTTATTCTATCTATAAACTTAAGAAACAGAGAAGAATTGTTACCCTAATCAAAACTATTTTCACAACAAGCAGTACCAGGAGAAAAAAAAAATACAAGGCTTAAGGACAAAGGTCACTCTGGTTTTGCAATCGCTCCACTTCTGAAATTACTTTGAATACAGAAGCGGAATTTAATCTGTTTTCTCCTTTGGTGCAAATATTAGAGGTGTCCACAAACAGTATGTTTCTAAAGATCACAATATTTCTTTCTTGCTATTAATACCAAGAAGATATTTTGGATTTAGAGCATGCCTTCCCATAATATCTTTCTTAACATCACTGAGTTCTCATATCCTATTAGCTAAATCAACACCATTGTGCTTGTATGCATAAGTGACTTATGCTGGTGATCTACACTGATTGATAAAGACTAGTCTCTGTACCTGGCTGGCAATCGTGATGGTCATTTTGGTGTTCGTATCTATTCCTTAATGGACTGTCAAAAATAATTTAACTCAAAAGGTTCTGTATGTCAGATTGATTGTCTAAGTAACAGCTCTGAAAGGAGGCATTCTTGGTACACCATGCTAGTCGAACAAAGTGTTCAAACATAGGCACCATAACTGTATCTTTCCCTTTTGAAATGTCAGTCAAGACTGATAGGGCAAGCAATCGCCTTCCCTTAACTTCTCAATAAACTTTGTAATGACAGCTGGATCCCTATTCAAAAGCAGTCTCTGATAGCTAAAGCAAACAATTTAACTTAATGTACATGTTGCATTTATACCTATCTTTCTTCTAAAAGTCCAGGAGGTAAGAAACAAAGACTACTGTATTGTCTTGAAAGAAAGGATGCATATTGTATGTTCAGCTTATGTACCTGGTAGCACACAATGAACGGATTTAGCCAGGCAAAGAAAAAAGACTTTTGAGTGGCACAGGGCCAGAGGACTGGTGGAGGTCAAATGTTTTTCCTTCTATTCAACAGTAAAAAAAGGGGTGGGGTGGGGATGGGACAAAGGCAGACCCAAGTAACTAGAGATTAGTCAGTTTGACATCAGTACTAAGCGAAACTCTGGAACAAATTATTTAACTCTGTTGCGTGTCTTGTAAGTCATGTTCTAAGGTTACAGTATTTATTAGATTCACAACACATCTGTTTCATTGGCTACTGCTATCTAATATGAATGGCCAAGCAGTAAATCGTTCATATAAGTTTCTTAAGAAGACATTTTAAAAGCTGGGTTGTCATTTAAAAAACCCCAAATGGATGACTTCCTGGGGGCGTGGCCTGTTGCCGAGGAGGG